ACACATTTTATTTATTTTTTATTACATTAAATATATTTCGCGTATATTTATATATTAAGATATATCTATTTTAAGATAACAAATGTTTTTACTATTATTTCGATTATATATTACTAATTAATGGATTGCTTCAAATTTCGATTCAAATTTTATTAAAATATTTTCGAAACTACAAAATTCTGTATACAATTTTCACATCAAAATCAATGACCAAATTTACTTTGGAGTTCGTTTGGGGCGAAGACTCCGAATTCGGTTATTATCCCTGTTATCAACTCGTTTGGCGTCACATCGAATGATGGGTTCCAGCAATTGATCTCTGGATTAGCAAACAATTTATTTAAATATTGAGTTTACATTAAATTGTATGAAAGAAAGTTTGCAAACCCGGAGCTGTGATCTGAATTCCGGCCACTTTTTTCATTTCATCTCCCGGTCTCTCCTCAATAGGGATATCGTCTCCAGTTTTGCGCGTCATATCAATAGTACTTTGAGGTGAGGCCACGAAGAAAGGCACGGAATGGTATTTGGCTAATACTGCGATCTGATAGGTGCCGATCTTATTGGCGGTATCACCGTTGGCCACCTATTCAGTCAATTGTTAACATTATAATTAAATATCTTATTTCGATTAAATCATTTATAACTAACCACTCGATCGGCTCCGACCACAACGGCATCAATTGTCTTATCCTTGAAGAGAGCGGCGACCATACTGTCACATATTAGAGTGGATGGAATGTTATCCCGAAGCAGTTCCCAAGCCGTCAGTCTCGAGCCCTGATTGTATGGACGCGTTTCTGTGCAATACTAGCATTGATTTCGTAAGAAATTAGTATTTGTTATAATTTAATTAAATCATTTTATAACTATTTTATAATTCATAACATACGGCGTGTGATAAGGATTTAGTTGAATGCAATGATCGGATAACTCCAAGCGCTGTCCCATAACCGGCTAGAATTGGTTTACGAATAATATTCTGTTATTTCTGTGCATAATTTGTATACTATTTGAGAGCATTCAAGCGGTCAAACCTGTGGCCAAACTTCCAGTATTACAATGAGTGAGAATATTGTTCACGTCTTTCTTCGTTAGAGATTTGATATATTGTGCGCCAAAATCTCCGATCGATTTGTTAACATTGATATCGATTTGAAGTAAATTAACGGAATATTCAGTCAATTGTTTGATCATTGAATCAAATGAAACGCTTGAATCGGCGGCCAATTTGGCCGACACTTCGACCAAATGTTTACATTCTTTGTCAATATTAACAGCAGTCGGACGCGAAGTACAAAGATATTGACACTTTTGTCGGAGTCGATCCAGCAGTTTGTCTTTGTCACCATTCACTTCGGCTATTATCTGCTGGTCATTGAGTTCGACAGCAATGCTAAGTACGGCCAGAATAGCGATGGCCGGCGCACCGCGAACTGCATTGTCATATCAATTGCCATTGAAATCACTCTTACCTTCAATAATATGGTTAAAATAAGTATACCTTTCATGGAGTGAATCGCATTCCAGGCGTCCGTCACGTTATTAATGTCCTCAAACTCGACGGTCAGCGGAAGTTTCACTTGGTTTAAGATCTTCAGCTTATTATTCTTCGAGTATATTATCGATTCAACCATTGTTTCAATTGTTGGTTCAATTTATAAGTATTGATATAATATTTCAATATATTGGGACACTTTATGCCGGTTTACACAGTATTCGCTCTATCGGTGTAATAATCTCTTCGATTCAATGCCTATTTCTATACCAATATTCACATCAAATGACTTTTTATCGCTTGAATTTAATTTTTAAACATTTACTTTTGATATAAACTTTTTAAATAACAAAATAATTATTGTATTACAAGAAAACACTTAAATTTATACTTTATTTTTCTAAACATGAGATAAAAACACTAAATGTGTTTAAATGTCGAAACTATTTGAGCGCAAACTCACCACAAAATTATGACAATTCGTATTTAATTCACTGATATTTATTTCATAGACTATAATATAACATATTATGTGAAAATATTATTTAACAGTAAAGACATGTATAAAACATGTGCTGAAATTTAACGAAACTTATAAAGTATTTGTCAATAAAATATATCAAAATATCTAAAAGTACTCAATATAAATTTTATAATTTATAACTAATATATAGTATAATATGTACAGTATATCTATTTAACAAAATTCATAAATTAATTGAGATTTAACATGATATTCAATTGCTTATATACAATATTGTTAAACATTATTTAAATATTTCATATAATATTTATAAAGAATATTTGAAATTTTTTTATTTGATGTTTCTTTAATTTTTAAATGAAATTCTATATTTTCTGAAAATATTCCAAATAAAAAATAATTAAATAAATGAATCCCATTTTCTAAACATTAATAATCATTTTACTTTTATGTTATAAAATTGTTTTTAAATACATTCTTCTAATATTCTTGAATATAAGACTATATATACCAAAAAAGTTGCCTAAAAAACATAATGTAATCTTTAAGCAAAGAAACATAAGAATATCTTAAGAAGTTGTTTCAAAGTAATAACTTTAAGTTGTGTTCTAAGTAGGTACATTTCACGAATAATGGTTAACCAATAGCTTTGCTGTTCAAACCTTGTTTATTCTTCAATAGTCTAGTAAAGCATTGATTTTCATAATAAGTTTAGAGGGATTGGGCTTTCATAATGTAATCCTATTTCAATGTCGAGCCCCTGTCCTCACAAAGACAAACAA